CAGTATATATATACTGTATTTATGGTAGGCCCACATTATAGGTAAATCTAAAACTGAAGCAATGTTGCAGTAGTAAATGAGAGCAATTGCGCCTGCTGGAGAAAATATAATGAACTGCACATTTTATATCAGCTGAGTATTGCCCCTCCAGTCAAGATTCAAATAACCTACATGGTTTTGTAGTCATGAATGTAAGCCCTACCATGCTATCAATATAAAAAGTATTTTGATAATTCAATCATGCAGTTTGTAAAAGAACAAACTGCTATGCCCACTTAGGCTGCATCAGCATTAATGTGCCCAGACGATTGTTACTCCAGATAATAAAGGTGCCAGGACTTGCCCGTGAGGTATGAAAAAGTAGAGGATGGATGATAATGAGACTTGGAAGATCACCTAACACTCATCTGGATCACGTGTTGTTGACAGGCCCATCACTGATCTGATGCTGTCGCTTCAGTCCAGCCTGTATTTCTGCTTTGGGATCCGTGGGCAGTTAGTAAAAACAAAATAAGGTAAAACAGTCACAATCAAACAACAGACTCCTGAACAACTCACCCYACCACCATGGCCCCCCTGGCTCACCGCTGTTCCCTAAATGTGAACAAAATGTATTTTGGTTTAGTCAACAAAAAAAGGCTGTTGACAGACATTTTTAAAAATGGAAAATCGTAAAAGACTGCCACCAAATAACAAAAATCTCAACACATTAAAAACAATGTATTTTACATATTTTTTCATCTATTTAATTTTTTTTTAAATCCATGAATACAACTGGAGCTTTAGAGAGATACACCATCACCTGCAGACTCGTGCAACCTACTGGATTATGTCCCATCCCAAAGCTAAACTGACCTCTGACCCTAAAGGCCAGGGAAGACACACATTAGGCGATAAGTGAAGCACAAGTCCCATTGTGCAGAGGGTCTCCCTGTCCATTTATTGACTTCCTAAATGATCCATTATGAGGTGATTTATGAGAGACACGGCTACCCCATCAGGCTCTTCTGAGGCTGGCGGGTCGCTGTCTGCTCCTTTCAGAAGACATCTATTTGCCAGTATTTGATTTATCCGAGAATGGACGGAAGCTGGCCTACATCACCTCCAGTGTTTGTTCAAAGCCAACAGGAGGCTTGAGTAGCCATTATGAACACACGATGTCACCACAGAGATCCTGGACAAAAGGTATGAATGGACTTCTGCAGGGATCATGGTAAACAAATCACATTCTACAGAAATGTACCATAAAATTGTATGCTCTTATTTAGATTTCTGTAAGGGTTTCAACAAGAGTTTAAGATTATCAGACAGAGTTTTACCAAAAAAGAAAAATAAAATTGCAATTACACGACCTTCGCCCTGAAAGGAAGTAGCACGGCCAAGCAGCTTGTCTTTCCTTTGTTCCCTAATGATTCATTGGCATTGTGGCTTTTGATTTCTCAGGCCTTTCCTGTCTACCATGATGAGTTTTTTCAACTGAGAGTTGACCCAAGCTGCTATGAAACTGATCATTAGTTGTTGGAAACTTTGGGYCCCGGTCTCTGAGCATGTTGCCTTACATGAACTCCCAGGCTGCACGTTGACTCAGATAATATGATAACTGGTAAATGGACTGAACTTATATGGCACTTTATCAAGCCGCATGGGGACCCCAAAAGATTTTTTCCACTACATTCATTTACCCACTCTCTCTCACACACACACACATACACCCACCCACCCAAGTTTGCACAGCTATCCAATTGGGGACATTCCATTGACTTCCCATTACATTTCTACAGCCTAACCCTGACCACAAACCCTAAGGCTAACCTCACAGGTACCTACCTGACCCTAAAACTAACCTAAACTCAATTCACACCTTGGTCCTAAACCAAACCCCCAACCCACCAATGGCATTTAAACCAAATGGGGACTCGACTTTGTCCCAAATGCACCAGTTGTCCCCAAATGTAGGACTTTTGTCTTAAAATTGCCCCCAAATGTCACCAAAGCCAACCCCCCACACACACACACACACTGATGATGGTAAGCTACATTGTAGCCACAGCTGCCCTGGGGCACACTGACAGAAGGGGGCTGACATACATCGGCGCCACCAGACCCTCTGAACACCATCAGTAGGCAAAGTGGGTGCCCAAGGACACGAATGAGAAGACTGGAATGGGGAATTAAACCAGCAACCCTCCGGTTACAGGATGACTCCCCTAACCACTCTTCCACGGTCGCCCATAATAAAGACAGAAAATAAAACAACTTATCACCTGACTTTGTTGAACTAATGTTTCCCAAAAAGTTCTGTATTTGACAATATAAACATGAAGGTAATTTAAACTGAACATGACAGATTAGAGTGATTTCTTTGGGTGAACAAACTAAAGGCAAAGAGTCCACGAGCAGATTGAGCTGACCAGCTAACTAACTAATGATCAGCACATCCCTTACATCAACACCCCTCTGTTCTTCGTGTCCCCACCACGATTAACCCTGTTTGACAAACACAGCTCGGGTCAGGCTAGAGGGCCTGCACGCTGAGCTGAAAGCTGCTGGAAAAACAACACGAGATTACGTAGCTACTCAGGTGTGTCGTATACCTCAAATTCAAGTCCGCTGAAGCAAATCTTCCATCAGATAAGTCAACATGATCGCATAGCTGCAGAGGATCACACCGGGCTTTAGCAAACAGGCTGAAGCCAACTAATTATCTGAGAGGCTTTTAGGTGGACTAACAGCTGAGGACAAGTTCAACAGAAGAAACAAGAAAAGTATTTAACAYAGTATAATTAAAGATGCAAATAATTTTGTTGGTACTGAAACCATGCTTCATTTCTTACAAAAAGTGCTTCAGTTAAAAGGAATCATAATGTCTGAATGCCTTTTATACGTAATGAAGTAAACAAACAAAAAATGCAAAAAAATAAAGAAATTCTTTTACAAAGATTTGCTAAGATATTATCGACGGATTTTATATTTTAAAAGAGACTATTAATCTTTGTAATATAGACATGTTTTAAACAAAGTGTTTGTCTTTAGTTAGTATTAAAAGTGCCATTCACCTTGTTTAAAGTGAACAAACATGACACTTTGTAGTTTGGCATCATTGTACACAACACTGAACATAGTGCAGAGAAATCAACGATGAGCTGTTCAGGGAGCTCTGACAGACGACAGAAAGCCTTTAAGACCATCTCTATCAGCTTCATGCTCCTCTGACCAAAGTTTCCAAATTTATATTTAAAAAAAAGTTCATATGACTGTAACCAAACTCATAAGGTGTGGACGCAAGAGAATATGCAACCCCAAGATCAAACAAATAGTGCAGATGGTAAAAAAAAGAGAGTAAGGAAATGATCTAAGGTGAAGGTACGTCACATTCTGATTGCTCCATCTGTCAAATTTTGAACTGTAACGGGCTTCATGAAGACCCCCACAAAAAAGTCAGAATGGAATTTGCAAAAATGCACACTGACAAGCCTCGAAGTTTCTGGGACTGGTGAGACAAAACTGGAGCTTTTGGGCTCCGGTCCTCATTATCTTGATTATTGTAGAAAAGTACCAACAAATGTACAGTATTTGAGTCTGTATGTTACTACTTGTCACTAACAAATGTCTTTGAATGACAAATAAAAACAAAATATGCTGCAGCAGTGTTTTTTTTTTAATATAAATAAAAATCTGAAATACTCAAAATACGCATTAAGAAATACAAACATAACAAACATGTTGTTACATCTGAGCAGAAACACATTTTTTATTTGGATAATTTCTGATCTGCTCCAACTTCCTGCATGGAATGAAATCATTGGCAAATTCCAGACAACAGTTTATATTAATCAGAACTAGATACGTCTGAATGTTTTAGCACAGTTATATGACTGACGTGCATGAGTGTCACAGACTGGGCTCCGTCACATTAGTTTAGATGATGATCAGAAGTCTGTATATCCTCCCACAGCTCAGAGACTTTCAGCCGGTGTCAGATCCTTCGTTGTATATGGACCACAAACTGATGCGCTGGTCTTTGGATCCAGCAGCCAGCAGTGTTTGTCTGGGGTCCAGATGGTCTGAGAAGGCCACACTGAGCACCATGTCAGTGTGGTACTGTAGAACCGCCAGAGGCCGCAGCTTCTTCCAGCCAAATATCCGCACTCTGTGGTCCCAGCCTGCGGAGGCCAGAAGTCTCCCGTCCTCTCTGATACAAATCTGGGAAACTCCAGGATTGACCAGCACCACACTGTYCTGGAGCTGCAAAACCACACAAACCCAGACTTTAAAAACTGCTCACTTGCATGAAGTAAGTGATCAAAATCGACATTTTTAAAAGGAAGTCATTATCATAACTGTGTGAGAAATGTAAAAAAAAAATCTTATTATTCAAACAAAAAATAACAATTAAGACCCATAAACCCTTCCATAAAAATAGACCAATGAGTCGCTCAGTTCCTTCTCTTCAGAAAAATGTGGCCAACACTAACATGCACACAGAGATGCTATCAGCTGATCTGATGACTGAGGTCCAAGTGTGAGGCTGGAGGTCTGTTAGACCTGGCGGTAAACGCCTGGGACTCAATCATCGGCCATAAAACATTACGGCACGAGCGCCGCGAGTAAATCTCTCCGACACCCATTATTTGCTTTAGMGTTCCCATGATGAGGAGCTGGGTTACCTGTGTCACAGTTTGCAGAACAAACCTTAAAAAAAGAAAGACTATCTTGGTGAAATACTTGTTTGCAGAGACGGTGTTGCTTCAAGCCTCTCTGATAAATTACATTCACACTGAAAGGTTTGGTCAGCGGGCAAAAGATTTTAGATAAATACACCGTTGTAACGTCTGCCTGCTACAGATTAGCCACAGCCCCCCCTCCCTGTGATCTACAGTGTCCCAAGGACTGTATCAATCTCTCTAAAGGGGCAACATTCTGACATATTGTAATGAATGGTGTCTAAGATCACTATCTAAAGGGCCTGCGGAGATGGGCATTCCAGGGGAGCGAACGTGCTCTTCCTGCAGGCTGAGCGTATCTGCTGGATGGGCCACAAACATCTGGATGCGGGAGCTAAAAATCAAACTGGACAGCGTAAAATTGACTTCATAAGTTGTGTCTGCGGAGACTAATGGATGGGAGGAGATGTTGGGAGAATTTATCTGCTTGCTCCTGTTCTGGGAAGGAACCGTCCACAAGCTGCATGTGGAAGATATAAGCCAGGTACTCGCAGCCCAAGTGAATAAGGTGGAATGCAGCCGGAGGAGGAATGTCATTGATCATAACTAAAAGAAAGCTAAGCTCAGAACAGTCAGTGGGGAAATTTCCTCCTTTTTTGTTCCTGTTGTTTATCAAACTATAATTTTCTTGCGTCTGTGGTGTGAAATTGTGCGTGCCGGCTTCGACCAAAACAAGTCAGATAAACATATAAAAAACTAGGGTAAAGAATATTAGGAGCTTTGTTATTACCTCAAGTATTTGGTATGCTSCTACCTCTCTCCATCTGGTCTGCATTAGAGGCCTGATAATGATGGGTTTAAGTGTCTGTTTTTGTTTGTTTTGCTTCCCATAGTTTGTGTCAGGAAAAGGCATTTGTTTCATTTAAGGGTCAATTGCGAGCAGTAAACGGCTAATGATTGCAATAATGGTCAGTCAGCAAGCCTGCCTACTTAATTGTTTTTACTTTCCATCTGAGAAAGTGGGGAGAAAAAGTTAGTGGAAAAAAAAAGCTTGTCCTCTGCAATCATTTAAAGTACGAGATGCTGGTTCCTGGGCTGCCACCGATCAGTATTTATCCTGTGKTCTCTGGTGCCTCTGCTGTTTTAAGCAGCGGAGCTGAAACAATCACTTCATTTCACAAGATGAAGATGCATCAGGACATTCATTTCACAAGTTTTCAATAAATAAAAAAGTGAGAACCAATTGTTGTAAAGTTTAATTAACTATTTATATTTCTTCTAAGCACAACACAAAGTAGGTTATTAGGTGAAACTTAAAAGCTGTTTTTTTGTTGTTGTTGCTGTTGTTTGTTTGCAGATTTATGAAACAAATAATCCAAGTAATGACATATTCATTTGTGCAGACAATCATTAGTCACAACAAATATTGTTTTTATTAAATAGAAGGCTAAACTAAGTGTAGAATAAATTATTCTTTTAATTCTTTGAATATTATAAAAGTTTAAATCTTTCAGTGATGAACTCGTTTGATATCATCAAGTCTAGACT